CGGGAGGTCGGGGGTGGGGGGGGGGGCGGACGCCCCCAACGTGACGTCATCACGTCAGTGATGCCCCGCCCCCTCCAAGAACGCCCCCAAAGTCCCCCACTGGGGGCGTAAGATGGACTTGGTAACCCTAGCTGTGATGCTGCAATTAAATTGCCTTTAAGTCAAAGTAATCCCTTTGATAATGTTTAAATGAAGCAAGTTTCCAAATATCTCACCCTCTTGCCTTAGGCAAATCAGAAAGGAGAGCAAGCAGAGGATTCTGGGTAAGGGACGTGGTACAGTCCTCATTCCTTAGTTTGTATGAGTAGCAGCTAGGGTTCCCATTCCCCAGGTGGGACCCCCCAATTTCATGGCCAGCAGGAGGAATTCTCCCCACCCTGATGCCATGTATGATGTGCTGACGTCACCCAGAAGTGACATCAGCATATCGGTGACGTCGGGGAGGGGTGACACTCCGCCTTTTGGGTGAAACTCTATGGTTTGAGGCCATTTTTACCATTTCATATGCTGGCATAACTTCTAGGTAACGTCAGCGTGTCGCGCAACATCCCCACCCACCCCTGTAATGCCCCCCAAATCCCTCCACCAACGCGACAAGGTGGCCTGGCAACTATGGATGCCAGCCCCCCAGTGGGAGAGGGGGAATCCCCACTTTCACGGATTCTTGCCCACCAGCTGGCGGGTGGGGGGAAGTCCCGCCCCCGACTGACCTTTTGGGGCCTACTTCTGGTTTCAGGCCTACTTCCGGTTGGGGGTGATGCTCCGGTTTGGGGTAAAACTCTATGGTCTGTAACTGGATTTACCACAGAGTTTTGCCCAAAAACCAGAGTGTCACCCCAACCAGAAGCAGGCCTGAAACCAGAAGTAGGTCCGAAAATTTCCAACATCCCTTCCAGTCTCTCTGAAGGATGTCAGGTAAGTTGACCTGGTGACCCTCCTGTCAACCCTAGTAGCGCACTAGTTTTTAAAAAAATGCAGTCTAGAGACTTTAAGGGGTTTTATTTGCAAGGCCAAGCAAAAACGAAGCGCACCCGACAGGACAGTCCACCTTAACTTGGCTGCTTTTGGCTCCTCTCTTTCTCTGAAACTTTCTAGGCAAAATACCTGAGGCCACTTCCAAGAACACAGCAACCCAGCGTGACCTCTGGCAAGTACCTCTGCTCCCATTTCGCTCAGAAACTGCCTTGTTCCATTCCCGCACTTGGCTCATCGTTTTGCTTGGGTTTTTTTTTTCTTCTTCTTCAGACACTGAAATTTTCCCTGTCCAGCAGTGTGTATATGTGAGTGAGTGAGTGTTTATGTATGCGCGCGCATGCACACACGAGAGGGGCACTCTCTGGATTTCACTTCGGATAGAAATGGGGCCTGTTGCGGCGGGGTGAAAATGACTCACGGGCCCGGTTGATTTGGAGCCAGTCCCGATTTATTTGTGAAACAGGGCTGCCCAGTTACTTCAGCTCTGGCTCCCGGCCTGCGGGGAAGGAAATTTCCCTCAAGGACTCTTGTTTCCTTATGTGCGGCGCTAGGCAGACATGTCAGGGAAGCGGTTGCTCTTCAGACAGTGTTCCTTTCTCAAGGTTCCTCTGCCAGGTCGCGCCATGTCCAGTATATGCTAGCCTGGGCCATCCAGGTCTTGGGGAAAAAGGTATGTATTAGGGGCTGTTTCTCATCGGTTTTCCTAACAGTCTGCTTCTGTTTTAAGGAAGAGCTTTTATGCTTCTTAGATCTTTGGCGTTAAGAAGAATAAGAATAAGAAGAAGAAGAAGAAGAAGAAGAA